CACACACACACACACACACACACACACACACACACACACACACACACCACGTTGCTTTCTGGACTCACAGCTTGATTCCAGGTCAGGAGCTATTTACCGTTACCTAACTCTTCTGATGAGCGATTCCTCTGCTGAAGACACACCGTCATGTGCAATAGACTAAGGGGACAAGAAGGCCTGCCATAAAGTGAACCCGTCACTGGTGAAGCCTCAGTGGCCCCAGCCTAGACGTTCTAACCTGTTTTCTGGAGGTTCTTTCGGTAGCCACTGAGGTTCAGCTGGGTGATGGTTCCCGGTAAATGTGCCACAGCTGCTTGCACATGCTTTTCCGTGAAGTCGAAGCACCAGGAGAGATTCAGCTCATCCAGTCTGCATGAAGGAAGGGCAATGGGAAAGCATGAAGGCAGCAGAAGGAGCGGGGTGACAAGCTGCTCGTACACACACACACACACACACACACACACACTGTAAATCCAAATGTGTTGCCACTCCCTTCATAGACCGCCTGTTCTGCGTTGTTCATCTGAAACTGCACTCTCTCCTCTAAACCCCTCTATCCTGCCGGTTACCGGGGGACCTGAGCTGAGGACCTAGCAAATACTCTCCTTCTGGCAATGCAGGCTGAAAACGGTAGCCTGCACGTTTCTTTCTCAAACCCAGCTATGTTGTCAAAAAAGCACGGACAGCTAGCAACTCACCTGTTTTATAAAACCCACAGAACGACCTCTAATAGAGAGACAGATGCTCTAACTGTCCGTTTCATCCAGTTCTCCCCTGCCACAAGATCCAATGGGTTTCAAAGTCAACGTCTAGCTCCCCACTTTGCATCTCTGCTGACTGAATACAGTGCTGTATGTTTTGTCTGCCTCATAGTATTCTGATCCAAAGGCAATTTACCTTTGACAGATCACTAAGGAGACAGATGCAAATGATGTACCAGAGAGACCAGGAGATGGGTAAAACGAATAACATATACACATTTGGTATTGTGTGTTCTGTATTCCAAGTCTCCTCTCAGCATATTATTAAAGACGTGTATGGGATCGCCCATATTAAATATGGTTAAGTTAGAGAGAAATCAACCACACTGGTAAACCCGTTCCTCCATTTCCCTTTAACGATGGCAGAGAGAAGGGATCACTGTCCACGTACCCCGCTCTTACAAGCGGACTTTTGAGTTTAGCTTGAAAGTTTGTGTGACAAAGAAACTATACCGCACAAGTTAAGAATGCAGCACCACGTACCCAGACGTGAAGCTTAAACTGTACTCGATATGAGCTCCAAGTGACAGCTCGGATCTTTCTTACCTGGAGCAGCTGCTAAGCAGAGTTGCCACGGCAGACTCGGAAAATCCAGAGCACCCACAGAGGTTTAGTCGCAGCAAGTTTTCATTCTGTGCGAGAGTGCTAGAAAAGAGAAAAATGCCAGAAGGATAAATTGCACCGATGGTGAGTCCTTTCCTGTATTCGCGTGTGTGTGTGTGTGTGTGCGTATGTGTGTGTGTGTGTGTGTGTGTGTATCTGTGTGTGTGTATCTGTGTGGACAAGTGAGTATATATAATTATAATTAAGCACTGAAGCTTGTGAGTCGGAAGTGAACTTAAAATCCACATTTCACTGTCTCTGACAGAGCTGAGTGATTTGCTTCGGCTACTCGTTTGCGAAATGGCAAGTAGCATTATGGTGGGGCTGGAGACAAGGTTAAATGACCTAATGTAGCAAAGAGTTTTCGAAGTACTTGCAGCATGAATAGACAAGCAACCTCACAAGCAACCTCAACAAATGTATCTTTTACACTAAAAGGCTCGCCTTCCCTGTCTTAGGGAAGCTCAGTGATGAGGAGCCATTTTTCTGGAGTTAAATCTTGGCTTGCTTTGGTTTAACCCTGTAAACTCAGACAAACTATTCAGCCTTCGTGTGTGCTTGTTTTCACATACAGGGGAAAGGATGAGAGCTTACTGCTTGCTATCAGAATTAGGCTTGGCTTAGAATCTGCCACGTATCTGCTACCTCTCTTGTTCCATTCTTTACCTCAGACCTCATATGTCACCTGAGTAGCGCAGTGGCCCAATCTGTGTCTCACTAACAAATGAATCAAATGCACGTCAAAGTGACCTGGCTCTTCCCCATCACATGATGCGTCATGCTTCTTGGCCTCTTTGCAAACTACCAGAGTCTCCACAGAAGGCCATCATAATGTAGCCATGCTTCTCCTCATCTCCCTCATCCCATGCTCCAGCAACTGCAACTACCAGCTTCTTAGGAGTTCGGAACAGCAGCAGCTTCACGAGGCTGCCTCCAAAGCCCTGGTGCTTTGGAGATCTACCTGGATATCGGTAACAGCCAGCCTATCAGTCACTACTCTGCGAAGGCTCCCCTCCTTAAATTCAGTATGTTGTCCCATAACCGCCAATGCATTTGATAAACACTCTCCCCGGTAATTGTCTGTCTTATCCACGAATGAGGCACAGACCACATACTGCTTCGTTTCCATCTTTCTCCTAGAGTAGGGTCTGCCACATGGTTAGCATCCAAATGTCTGCTGTCTCGAAAATCCTACACAGTTCTGGAAATTCTGTGTGTCCTTCAGGACATGAATATAAGGACTCCGTAGCCATATACAAGAAACACTTCCATATGCAGCAGTTGTCTTTTTTGTTTGTTTGTTTTTTGAGACAGGGTTTCTCTGTGTAGCCCTGGCTATCCTGGACTCAGTATGTAGAACAGGCTGGCCTCAAACTCACAAGAGATCTGCCCATAACAACTATCTTTATGACATACTTCAGATGCCACTCACTTGACAATAGGATCCGAAAGCTGCAGGCCTTCCAGGCTTAGATTCTGCAGCTTGGAGCACTCAGACAGAATCCCGTGGAGGTTTGACACGTTTATAACAGAGTTGGACAGGTCCATGTGCTGTACACGAAGAGAGCTGAATGCAGAGGAGAGAACAGAGGCCTTGGGTAACTCACACAAGTACATTCAGATGTGGCCCAACCCCTTCCTGTCCCCACAAGACTAAATACACATTTTAAATATCAAATGAAGACCTGGTCATAAAACAAATTGCTTCTAGTGAATTCCCATCCTCATTCATTTTGAAAATTCAAGATTTGCCAAGTCCAGATGTTGCTGCCAACATGGTCTCAGTCAGAAAATTAAAAAGGTGGGAATGAGGAGAATGAGCTAGGTTCATGTGCCCAGGGAGTGGGGTAAGCCTATGATGACTCCTAGCTGCTGTTGAGGGCTGAATGGGTGAGCAACAGTGTTTACTACGAGAAGGAGGACAGTGGAGAAACCAGTTTTAATGGGAGGCCATGTTTACTTTTAGATGTGCTAATACTGAAGTACTCAGAAGTTCAGGTGTCGAAGCCTTTAGGTAATCAGAACTAAGAGCTTTGAAGTAGACCAGGCTAATCTAAGGGTTTGAGAATCCTGAGCATAAGGCGGACAAACAGGGCACAGCTAGTCTGAGAACAGCATGAGAAGAAGGACAAATCCTGGAGTAAACACAAGGAAAGGCTAAAGAGGAACAGCAGTGGGAGGAAATAAAAGCAGTGGGGACAGGAAATGGCTACTGGAAAGAAGGGGAGGGGACTGGAATGGAGAAATGTTCTACTGTCTTTAGCTTGCTTTTCTCTTCCGTATCTAGCTATTCTTCTCAGGCATCAGATAGCACGAAACCTTAGCATTCCATAATTTGCAGCACCAGAGAAGTATTTTTTCAAAACAGTCTACAAAACAAAAAAGAAGGCATTTTTTTTCAGGTTGTCTGTCTGTGATAGGACAGAAAGCCCATGATGCAAGTATGGGAATACTCCCCCCAACTCTGTCATGGATGGTCAGTGGGGATGGATGCAGGAGGCTCTCATTCTCTGATGTGGACGAGGCATAGCTCTGGCCTGTGGGATTCACAGCCCCACCTGCTCAGCACTCATTCTGAGATTGCTAAATAAGCACTGTTTTCTTACTGGAGAATGGGATGAACCCAAGGTCTTGCATAAGCTCCTCTAACACTGAGCCACACCCTCAGATGTCTAAGTGAACATCTCTGACACTAGGGAAGGCCCAACAGTAGCTCTTAAACCCATGCCACGCTTCAAGCCAGAGGCCACATGGCAACATATGCAACTGACAGCCCACACTACAGACAGCCTGTCACTGGCTTAAATCGCAACAAAGAAAAAAAGGAGTGTGAGCTGTTTCCACCTCCACATTCAGTCTTTTTTACCTGAAACTTTCACCCAATGGTTGCTCCATGAATGATCGTGGGCAGCGGAAGGCAATCACCCCTCGAGAAAGCAAGCGAACAGTCACATCGGGGTGCAGATTTTTACCTGCCAGGTCGAGGGACTGCCAGAGAGACTCATCGAGCCTGAAACAGAGAGGGTGCTTGATTATTAAGTTGATCACAGTGAATTCTGGGAACCCTGGAGACCCTTATGGAAGACACGGCTACTGGATCTCCTTAAGGCAAATCTAAAGAGCTTTTGTTTCCAAGCTCTCTATGCAAGACTAAACATTTCTTGATCACAGTATCAATAAGCGTCCACATTTCTCTTCCTATATTTTCAATCCAGATTATCTAATGCTAAAGCCAGAAACGGCTAATAACCTGGAACCAGAGAATAAAATCCAGAAAAAGGTTACAGATTGGCTCTGTTCTGTATTCACATGCACAAGTGTATGTACATATTTATATTAATGTTAAAGGAAAGAGGGGAAATACTAGATTATAGATATATTTCTAACATATATACATATATTCCAAAAATAGAATGAGCTTCAATCCTTTAAAAGCTTTATTTTATTTTTATTTACATGTATATGTCTGTGTAAGTAAATACTGTGTGTGTGTGTGTGCGCGCGCGCGCACGCACCCTCCAAGGAGTTACAGGCGCTTGTGAGCTTCCTGATGTTATCGGGAGAGCAACAAGCACTCTCTGAGCCGTCTCTTCAGCCCCTATGGTAAAAGTTCCAATAATCATAGTAGAATTTGATTAAGAAAGCACAAGAGAACATAAAGTGTGAGCACATGAGGGAACAATCTAACATGGTTTTTGTGCACTAGAGTATTCTCTTCTAAACATATTTGAAATAAGCACTCCACTGGCCGGTTCTGAAATAATTTTGCTATAAGAACTTTGCTAGGGTATGATTTGACTATTAAAAAGGTAGGCTATAGATCCGATATCCTTAAGAAAGTGGCACGCTTTGTGTCTTTCTCTTGTCCACACTGACATCTATTTCAGACAATTCTCTGATTTTCTCAGATCTTCACGTCTAGTCCTTTCAAAGACAGAAACAACAGCTGGCTTGCTATTCTAGACAACCCAGGACAAGTCTCGAAGCATTCACTCTGCCCCAAATATCACAGTGTTAACGTGGAAAGGGAAGATGAATTCAGCAGCCACCACAGCCCTAAGCCAAATGGTTAAGGCAACAGTTAAGGCTAACAAGACCTTAGTCTCATGCTAAATTTCACTTCACAACCTACTGTTCTTGACCCCGTAGTTCCTTCAACTCCTAAATTAGGATAATATAAACTTGTCATTTCAGCCTGTGTGGAAGATTAAATTGTTCTGCCAGTCATTAATTTAGCACAGTGAAGATGATGGCTGGATCAAAGGGAAGATGTTAAAGGTTAAAGGCCCTAGGTAGCCGAAGACACACAGAATAAGTAAGTTTTGTACTATCTGAGCATTAGGAATATTGTTCTGGATTTGGGAATTTTTACTAAAGAGTTTATTTTAGGTGCTTTAGTCATACTCACACCCATGAAAAAATAACTATGTAGGATTACAGGTATGTTAATTTGCTTGAGTATAGTAGCTATTTAGTGACCTACACCTACAGCAAAACATCACAGATTGCACAATTTAAATATGTGCACGTTTTTATAAAGTTTAATAGATATTTTTTTCCTGTGGTATGAACAAATGCATATCTTGTGGGTAAAAAAAGTCCTTTGGGTCAGGATGGTGGCCACTGCTGTATAGACCTTTTCATCTGCAAAGAAAACTGCCTAGGCTTGGGCCTGGGACTGTGTGTAGCTTAGGGCTAAAAGTTCTTGCCTCACATGTTTGAGGCACTGGGTATTATTCCCAGCATGCCACAGAACAACAAAATCCTTCCTTATTTCATGCCCTTTACTGCCTTCCGGGTTCACACCCTTTGCATACACATACAGTTTAAGTAGAGCCAAGAATCAGCTAAGACTACCTCAAACGGCCCTTGTTCAGCGTGCCTATGACCCAGGCAATGCACTGGCACCTTTCATTTTATCCTTCTGACTACCCCATGATGACAGTGCAACTACGGGCACGTCACATTCAGTGTATCAGGCTCATAGAGGACAAGTAACTTGTTCAGGTCACGTAGAGTATACGTCAAAGAGGCTGGCTTTGCTCTCTGTACCTCGTCCTGTGCTCCCAGCCTGCGCCCCAGTCCTACGCTGTCTTGCCACCCTCCTGACCTCCCTTGACATTAGCATAGCATTCGGCCCAAAAAGTACAGAGCAGAACACAGGGCGAAGAGGCTGTCAGAAAAGGGGTAAGAACAGATTTACGGGGAACTCTTCCCTCCAACTGTGAAATGGCGGCACCGACTTCAAAGAGCAGTAAAAAGGTGTTGGATTTGCTTAGGGTGTGGATGTTCTATGGAGAGGCTGACGGTTTCACCAGACTCAAATGAGTACATAACCTTCTTCCCGCCCTTCCTCCCCCACGCACATGCCCAAAGGGAGGTGAAAATACTCACGAGAGGCGGTACCACCTCTTGCAAACCCCAGAGACTCTCAGCAGCTCAGGGAGGCACAGGCAGGAAAAGATACCAAGGAGCAGCTCATCTGGAAGGGAGTCCCAGGAAACACCTGCAAGGAAGCAAGCCAGCGTTGCCACCTCTGAATTCTTCCCTGCCAAAAGTCACAGGGTCCCTCACGTAAGCATTTATCAAGCCCTCGCCGCTTCGCATAAAGGGAGTTTCAACCGAACTGAATTCTTCATTCTCGCATCATTTTTCTGTCCCACACAGACTTGCACACTGCGGTGGCTTGAATGAGATGTTCTCCCATAGTCTTAGAGATTTAAATACTTGGTTCCAAGATGTTGGCACTGTCTGAGTAGGTTTGGGAGGTGTGATTTTGCTGGAGGAAGCATGTCACTGGGGTGGGCTTTGAGGTTTCAAACCCCCAATGTCACTCTCAGTTAGCCGACTCGCTTCCTACCTGAGGTTCAAGATGTGAGCTGTTGGCCTTTCCCGTCACCACCAGGACTACCTGCTATCCCTGTCTTTATGGATTCCTCTCTTGGAACCATAAGCCCAAATGAACTCTTTCTTCTGCAAGTTGTCATGGCCCTGACTTTTAACACAGAAACAGAAAAGTAACTAAGGCACATACATACCCTGGTTCTCAGCAGTGAGGCTCAAGAAACAAGAATATTTTTCCTAGTGTTAATTCCATTGGTACCAGCTGGCCAACCACTGGCCGGGTCTCCTTGATAAACCCTGGCACAGAGCAAGTCCCCAGCCAACCAATATATTGTGATGATTGAAGCCACAAAGGAAGATCTCCTCTCTCTGATGTGGACTTATATAAAAAGCAAATGATCCTTCCTCCTTCTTGGAGTATAGGAAGTATGTCTCAGTCCATGCACCTAAAAAGCAATTTTACAAGGACCCCCCCTCCTTTTTTTCTGAGACAGGGTTTTTGTGTAGCCTTGGCTGTCCTGGAACTCTGCTCCGTAGACCAGGCTGACCTTAAACTCAGAGATAAGCCTGACTGTGCCTCCCTAGTGCTGGAATTAAAGGCATGCAACACCACTGCCTGGCTTTCTTTCATTTCATAATTCAACAAGATTCTCTATTACCCATGGCGCCAAGTATCATTTTGGGTGTAAAGGGAAGATCAGCAGACAAAATTAAGACCAATTAAATACTACTTTCATAAGGCATATGTGTTACGGGGGAAAATAGACAATTATACACAAAACAAGTATATTATGTGATTCATTAAAAAGGATGACAGCTATACAGAAAAATTCAGTCAGGTGGTGAAAGTCAGGCATAGTCATTGTGTTTGAACACAGTGTTGGGGGAAAGGTTCTGGGGGCAGTGGTCACTGAGTCACAATAGACCCACATAAAGGAGCTGGGTTCCAGACCCTGTAATAGGCACGATTGTTATGAAGAACAGAGCAAAGAAGGGTCATGGTGGAAAATGCAATGAGAAGCTGGGGATGGGGTAGCTATGGATAAAGATCTTTGGCTTTGATTTAACAAGGAACTACTAGATGGTTGTAAGAGGCTTGCCAGAGGTTCGTTAAAGTTCTGGAAAGATTACTGTGGCTGTGATCTCGGCAGCCTGGAGTGGGAGGAAGTTTAGTGCAGCTTTCTTTGTCTCTAGTTGGCTCTTCTACAATCCTACCTCAGTTGATCTAAGTCTAGGCTATGTACCTTCCTGTCCCCAAGAGTAGAAAAGGGACATGCATTTGCAGGACCTACAGTTTGTAGAGCGCAGTAGGCACTGAGGGCGGCACATGTGGCAGCTGCTGCCCCTGGCATTCTTCCTGGACTGTCCTTCTGAGATAATCCTGCCTGTCTTTCAGCAGAGCCAGATGCTCAGCCTGTGTTCACATTGCTAAGCACAAGGCTCAACCTTTTCCTGTGAGGGTTCAACTCATTCTTTAATCTGTTGCTTATTTAGAAATGTGTTCCAGCCATTGGCGCCTACTACAGTTTTAGGATAAGGCATTTTGGGTTGTACCTGGATGCTATTCTTTTAAAATAAGATTGCTATTAAAGGCTCCTCATGATCAATGAAGGCCACTATTTACCCATCTCTTTAGGCCTCCCTCACTTGTTTACAAGACCTTGCAAAGGAAAATCTGCTTTGTTGGTACATACCAGGAAGTAAAATTTGATCCATTCATATATTTAGTGAACAATCAATTTAACCCCAAAGTTTGTTCTAGAGAAACAAAATAACCTAAGCATGCCCAGATCCTTATTCTATTTAGAAGCTGAGAGACAAAGAAGACATTTCAACTATCATGTTTGGCTACAGGCAGCATCTGGGGCAGAAGAGTACAAGAGTGGTCAGGGAAATTTTCTGGGAAATAGTGGCTCATCACCGCTCAATCAAGGGCTGTTGCTATCATTCTTTTCCGGTGTTTGAAACAGGGTCTCATGTACCCTACTAGCCTTGAACTCACTATACAGCTGAGGGCTGATTCAGCCTGAATTCCCAATCCTCTTGCTTCCATTTTCTAAGTGCTGGAAGTTGAGATTTTACTATGATCTACAAAGACCATCATTTTACATCCCCGGTGTCTCTGAGAATTAGTATACTAAGGAAGAACTCAGCTCTCACTGGAATCCTAGCCATGCTGCCCCTAGCCTATGAAGTTGAGTAATTGAGTCTCTCTAGGTCTGTTTTCTATCTGTAGGAATGAGAATAAACAGATTTGCCTTGCAAACTGTTCAGTGTAGAGATGAGGTGATGTGGAAGATTTTAAATAATGCAGTAGAGAGGCAATTTTTTCTTCCCAGACTCCCCTTCTCTCCTCACTAAATCAGCACATTTTTCCTTCTCTGCTTTTTTTTTTCAATGCTGCTTTAAATTCAACAGGCAAAAACCCAAGATCAGGGGGCGGCTGTACAAATGTTGCAAGAGATTACCCAAACCCAAACCCTGCATCTCCCTCTATCTGAGCTGACGATCTCCAGATGCAGCTCCAGAAGGTCTGACTTCAAGGAGTTTATCTGGCACATAAGGACAGGAAGCACTGGAGAGGTGGGGAAGGCAGACACCGACTAGAGGAGGCCAGCCATGGCATTTAAATAGGCAGATTGTCACTCTGGATAACCGGTTTAAACCTCCAGGGGTTCCAGGAGACCATCTGGAATCCGTCTCTGAGCTGTCCCACCTGAGGGTATGGGTGCTGGAGTATAAGTCCATCAACCACTGCTGGTCATTCATTCTAGGCTCACTGTTAACTTTTTAGCATTCATTCCTGCCTAGAGAAAGCCCCTAGCACAGCTGCGTCTGTGTTCAGGAGAAAGCTTCGGGCACTAAAGAGAAGGCGAGTTTCAAGGGACCATGGGCTAGCCAGCAACAGGGAAATTAAAGAAGCATGCCCAGAACTGCAAGGTGGGAAAGAAAACTATACGACCACATTTGGTGTTTCCTATTTTATGAGAAATATCTAAGAAAGCAGAAAAAAAAAAAAAAAAAAAGAACAGTATGAAATGATCAGACGAGAGGAGGAAAGTGTAGCATAATGTTGAGAGCAAAGGCAGCAGAGCCAGGCAACAAAGCCCTTCAAGAAAACAGTCCAATGTAAGAAAGACTTCGTAGTACAGCTTGTCTTAGATTTCAGTTTAAAAGAGACTTGCTCTGAGAAGTATTTCATGTCATCACCAAAGTTCCACACCTAGGCTTGCACATTCCGCAATGTGCAATAGCTAGTATATAATTGACAGTTGGTAAATATTTGCTAAGCGCATCATACCTTTTATACCTATTAATTCTTAGTGACTGACCAACCTTCTTTTACCAGTTAATTACTACATGCTTGATGCTAAGAACAGAACCTGATAGTGAATGTTAGATACTGCCTAACTGATAGTTCATGTAGGAATAACTAAGGTCTCAAGAGAAGAATGCTGGCTTTATTTTAAATATAGGCAAGACAGTTGGCCTTACCAGGCCAGTTTCCTCATTTGAACAATAATAGACTGGCTTGTAACAAACATATTGTGGGTGGTTTTTGATTAATGAACTAGTTCTGGGAGGTGGGTATAAGGCACAGCTCATGTCCAAAAACCTCAGTGGCAGCTGGACCATAAGGAAATATATAACAACAATTAAAACTGCCCTCTACTAGAAGCCCTAAAAACCCGTGCCACGTGTTAAAGTACACCAGTGATAATCTTTGCCACAACCTAAGGATAATAAAACTATGACTGCTCTTGTTTTTAAGTATGAGTACATTTATCTCAATTCTCAATAAAGCCAAATAATTTCACAAAGGTGACATTAATTATTACACAGGTGGCAGAATCAAGAGGCAAACTTGGGCTTTATAAATTCCCATGTCCCAAAGTGAAAGTATAGGATAACAAGAGGCAGAAGCCTGATGATGTTTCTGGTTGGCAGAGGGCTCTGCAGGTATAAGTATACCTGGGAGAGGGCACAGCAAACCTCTGGCACACAGAAGGGATAAGGCCGAAGATAAAAGACCACAACAAAGGATGTTGGAATAGTTCAAGGTACCAATGAGTTTACCACCAAATATGTCCAGGACACATACAGCCTTAGGTAAGAAAGAGCAAGGCACCCAGAGTGCCATTCAGTTGACTTTACAGGACAACCCCATTCTGGGGGTGCTGAGTGGAAGTGGATTGGCTGCTGTCCCAGCAGATGGGGCAGAAATTTGTCTCCAGTAGCTGTGCTGGTGGCTAAAATCCAGGCTGTAATACATTTAATCTAATTTTACTTGCCATATTTAATTGTCAAAACATCAGCCATCTGTTTCCTGGATTCGTGACAACATGGCTGCCTGGTCTGTTTGCAAGCACAAGGGGATATCCAGAGGTCTTTGCTCCACTTGCTTTGGCAAAACCCACTGAGGATTTCCACCAGTGACCTACAAAGTTAGCTAATTATCACTGCTCCTGGTTTCTCTTCAGACGAAAACCCAGCTTCCTCATCTGTAACCATCTCACCATGCCCTTCGAAGTCTCCAGGAAAGAGGGATGTGTAGGAGTTCTAAGCACTTGATCTCTGGAGCGTAGCTAACTTGTCTTATTTCATCTATTTATTTCCCAGACCAGCAACACTCAAGATTCAAACTGCATGTCCAAAACGATT